CAGCACTGCCCTCTGCTGGGGCCGCCAGTCGAGCTGCTCTCCCTGAACTGCAGAGCATTCGCCCCAGCGCGTAGTGCTCCTAACTCGCGCCTCCGTGGACGTCATGAGCATACAGGGTCCGGCATGAATAAGGAACGTCTACTTTTCAAAAGGGGCTCGGTCGTTTCTCTGATTTGCATACGTTCCGCTACCTTTTCGGCGGCGAGCCCCCCTGGTGTTCCTTCGGACTTCCTGGACTTACGTGGAAAAAAGGATCGTCGTTCGTTATTGATCGTTCTTTAGGTCAGGCCGAAACCTGTAAAGCTACGGGCGTCGACTTCTTGCAGCCAGGCATCGCGGCAGATCCTTCTGACCAGCTCTCGCCGTTGCTGCTCCTTCGTCTCAGCGTTGGTGCTGAGGCGAGCCTCGTACGCTGGGGTCGCCAGTAGGCGGCGCACGTAATGCTCGCAGTCCTCCATCCAGGCCCTTGTGGTCAGCTTGGCCTCCACGGCCGTATCCCGTCAATTGCAACGAGACCTGGGGAACTTGTGCCCCTGCGCTATCGCCTCGATCGTCCTCGGGGCTCTGCCCAGGAAGGCTTGGTCCGCGCGGCCCTCCGAGCCCAGCTTGCTGGCCCCAGCAGGCGTGTGGGAGCGCGGCCGCGGCGGGCGCCGCCGCTGCGTTCGGCCCTCGGGGCAAACCCGCGCCTCCGCGGCCCGACCTACCTACCTTACTCGTTCCCCTCCTCCTCCTCCTCCTCCTCCTCTTCCACCTCCTCCTCCTCCTTTCATTCCTCCTCCTCCTCGGCCCCCGAGCACCGGATCGGCCGCGCCAGGCCGGGGCGGCACCGTGCCCTCCGCGCACGCCGTGCGCCGAGCGCGGCGCGCGGGGGGGCTGCCTCGGCCAGCGAGTGGCCAGCCCCCCCCCCCTCCTCCCTCTCCTCCCTCTCCTCCTCCCCTCCTCCTCCTCCTCCTCCTCCTCCTCCTCCTCCTCCTCCTCCTCCTCCTCCTCCTCCTCCACAGTGACCTGATGACCTGATGACGGCCTGGGAGTGTCCGACCCCCCGCGTATGGTTTTTTTACACACAGGTTTCCCCGGAGTTGGGTTTTCGCCTGCATTTGTTCTCAAAATGCTGCTCTCGTTAAGACGCCCGCCTCATTTTCGGGCCCCGCTCGTTCTGAATCGTGCTCCCGCTGCAGCGCTGGCCTCCTTTCCGTGCTTCCGCTCGTTTCGACTCCTGCTCCCGCTGCAGCGCTGGCGTCATTTCCCGTGCCATGCCACGGCATGCACTGCAATGTTAGGTTGATACTACGCTTTGCGGTGCTCTTCTACGCCGTGCCACGCCGTGCTCTACAATGCATCGCGTACCCATCATTGCCTTGCTCGACATCCGACTGAGCGAGTAGAAAGGAGATCTGTGCCATGGTAAGGGATGGGAGGGAGGGGTAGGATGTCATATATGACGCGAGCGCACCTAGCTTGTCCTCCTCCCCCTCCTCCTCTTCTCCTCCTCCTCCTCCTCTCCTCCTCCTCCACCCCCTCCCTCCTCCTCCTCTCCTCCCTCCCTCCTCCCTCCACCTCCTCTCCTTCCTCCTCCTCCTCCTCCTAAGTCTTCCTCTCTCTCCTCTCCCCTCCCTCCTCCTCTCCTCCTCCTCCTCCTCCTCCCTTCCTCCTCCCTCCTCTCTCCTCCCCTCCTCCCTCCCCTCCTTTTTCTTTTTCTCCACCTTGTCCTTCCTCCTGCTCTCCTCCTCCTCCCTCTTCTTTCTCCTCTCTTCTTCCTCTTCCTCCTCCCCCTCCCTCCTCCCTCCTTCTCCCCCTCCTCTTTCTCCTCCTCCTCCTCCTCCTCTCCTCCTCCTCCTCCTCCCCTCGTCCTCGTCCTCTTCCTCCTCTTCTCCCTCCTTTTCCTCCCTCCTCCTTCCTCCCCCTCCTCCTCCTCCCCCCTCCTCGTGCTCTTCCCTCTCCTCCTCCTCCTCCTCCTCATTCTCGTCCTCGTGATCATCATCATCCCTCTCCCTCCTGCCTCCTCCCTCCTCCCTCCCTCCCTCCCTCCTCCTCCTCTTTCTCCTCCTCCCTCTCCTCCTCTCCTCCTCCTCCTCCTCCTCCTCCTCCTCCTCCCCCTCCTCATCATCCTTCTCCTCCTCTTCCTCCTCCTCCTCTCTGACTCCTTCCTCCTCATCATCCTGCTTTTCCTCCTCATCATCCTGCTTTTCCTCCTCCTCCTCCCTTCCCCTCCTCTTTCTCGTTCTGTTCCTCCTCCTCCTTCTCCTCATCCTTCTCTTTCCTCCTCCTCCTCCTTTTCCTTTTCCTCCTCCTCCTCCTCCTCCTTCTCCTCCCTCCTCCCTCCTCCCTCGTCCCTCCTCCTCCTCCTCCTCGTCCCTCTCCGTCCCACCCCCCTCACACCGCCAGCAGGCCCGTCTCCGCAAAACGCCGCGCCGCCGTCTTTTGCGCCGCCAGGGGAGGGATGTACGGCCCAAGAACAGACAAGACCAACGCCTTGAGAAACAATGGGGTTCGAGCCAGGGAAGGCCGCGACGTTGGAGGAATCACATGTGAGATTGCGCCAGCCATCCGCGGCAGCCGCGCACACTGCCGTTCGCCAGCCTCTGGCAGCGGCCCCGACAGGCCTTCTCCGGGGGCTAATCAGTTTTCGGTGAGCGCCCGCGGCTCGGGGGACTCGTGTGCGCGCCGTCTTCAGGTCCTCCGCCTGAAGCCGAGACGGGCGGCTCGCTCTCGTGCTGCTCCTCGAGCTCGCTGTCCCCGAAGAAGAAAAAGCGAAACAAACATAAACTTTTGGCGCTCCGCGCGGATTTCTTGGATCGGCGTTTGGGCCCCCCGGCGGCGCCTCCGGCGCCGCTCCTGGCGCGTTCCGCGCGCCAGGGATGGGGGTCCAGCGCAGATCCAAGAAATCCGCGCGGAGCGCCAACAGTTTGTGTTTATGTTGTTTTCTTTTATGTCCATCTCGGGCTCGGGGTCCTCGTATTCCTGTTCGTCGAATTCTGGGCTATAGCTTGCGCTGGGGAGCTGCCGTCGTCGCTGATCTTCACGACTTTCTGAAGAGGCGGCGTGCCCGACCACGGCTTTGGGTTCGCGCTGTGACCTACCGCAGGTCCAGGCCCTTGGCCTGGCATGGCGTCGGAACCTGGGGTATCTGCTCCCAGCGCCGCCCTCAGCATCTCCAACACCTGCTGGAGCATGCGCATGTTCTCTGCCCTGGCGCTCGCCCAGTCCTGCTCGCGCGAAGAGACGCGCGCGTAGCCACGCGCGTCTTTACGCGCGGTTTTCTACGCCGCGCTGCCGCGCGCGTGGCCGCGAATCCCCCCCCCGAAAAATAATGTTTGTGTGTGTGTGATTGTGTATGTGTGCGTGCGTGCGTGGTGCGTGTTATATATAGCATATGTATATGTATATGTCTGTGTTATGTGTGTGCGTGTGTGCGTGTGTATGTGTGTGTGCCTGCCTGCGTGCGTGCGTGCGTGCGTGCGTGCTGGCGTGCTGCTTGCTTGCGTGCTTGCGTGCGTGTGTGTGTGTGTGTGTGTGTGTTTTCGTGTGTGTGTAGCTTGGGCTGGTCCATCCTGGCCTTCCATATAGTTTTGCTCACGCCTCGCAGGCCCGCCGGTCTCGACGCAGTGGCTCATCCCTGGAATGTGCTCGGCCCACTGGGTTGGGGTACGCTTCGTTTTCTCTTCGCCACCAGCTGCAGCCACTGGCTCCCGGCGCCCCCCCCCGCCGCAGCCGGCAGCTCTGAGTGGCCCGACTTCCTCTTTTCCCGTCGCCGGGGCTCCTTCCGCTCCTTGCGTGCAGTGCGGCCCCATTTGCATACTGCGTGTCCCCTGTTGCCTATCCGCCAGAGCAGTCGCCCTCTGCCCAGCCGCCGACGCAAAAAGTGCGTGTGTGTGTGAATGTGTGTGTGCGTCTGCCTGACGTTGGGAAATCTCTGCCTCGGCTGCGCTACCTTGTCGCCTCGTCCCACGTGATCATCATCACCATCGTCGTCATCATTCGCGTAATCAGCATCCTCATCATCCCCACCATCCTCACCATCATCATCACATCACATCACCATCACCACGCCATGTTCGCCACATCATCATCGTCATCATCATCATCAGCATCACCACCATCCTCATCAGCATCATCATCATCATCATCATCATCATCATCATGATCACCATCATCACCATCGTCATCACAACGCGAGGGTGGCTTGGGAGATCCGCCGGCCGTGCCTGACTCCGCCGTCCGCCGCGTCGCGGAGCGCCCGGCCGCGCCGCCAAAGAACCGGTAGCTCAGGAGATGTGTAAAAAAACGCCCCACTCCCCGCGGGGGTCCGAGAACTGTCACGGTGGTCTCGCATCACAGACAAGAGACACTCTTTCGGAAACGGTGAAAAACCAGCCCAGCTGTTTCCAGGGCCCATTGAAGCACTGTGACAGCTTTGGGAATTAATCGTCGATCCCGAGGAAAATATTGAAAACTATGGGAAGTGAGGGGGAAGACGAAAATCCTGTAAATATTTGAAAATCTGAGAATCCTGGGATTTGTGTGTATTTATTTGTGTCCCTGGGCCCCTTCAGTTTGGGACTGTTTTTGACGAGTCGGGGTCCTGCGGAGGCCTCCCGCAGAAGTCCCCCGAGGCAAGGTGAACCAAATTTTCAAGAGAAAACCTTAACTCAAGCAGTATCGAAGCGTTTTGGCTCGCCTACAGACCTACCAAAGGATGTTCTAAGAACCTTCTGTGGTTTGCACGAATGTTCTTAGAACATTTCTGGATGGGACGGTCTTGTTTCAACACATCGGGGTTATGTTCTAAGGACTTTGGTTTTGCTCTTAATTTTTGGATTCTAAAGACATTTCGCTGTAGGCCTGTAGGGATGCCGGGACGGTCGGTCCCTGCTCGATTGATGGTGACAATGGCGGCGGCGATGGCGACGACCACAACCAGCATCAATGCAGAGCGCACCGCGGCGCAGTTGGGCGCGTCGTTCCTCGATCCTCATGTTTTCCCCCCACCGCCCGACGAGGCACGACCACGCTGCACCTCGCCGCCTTGCAGGAGGATGCGCCCCTCTGCTTGGAACTGCTCTCGAACGCCGAGTTCGAGGCGGTCGTCGTCGTTATTGTCCTTGTGGTCGTGGTCGCGATCGTCGACGTCAACGTGGTCGTCATCGTCGTGGTCGTGGTCTTCTAGGTCGTGGTCGCTGTCGTTGTCATCGACGTCGTCGTGATCGACGTCGTTGTCGTCAACGTCGACGTCGCTGTCGTCCTGGTCGTCGACGTCGAGGCGGTCAACAGCTTGGACCTGCTCGGCAGCAGCGCGCTTCATTACGCTGCTGAGCGGGGTCTCTCCGAGGCGCGGGCAACCGTCAACGTCGTGGATGTCGTCGTTGTCGTTTTTTTTGCATTTGTGATGTATCTTCAGATTTACGCAACTGCGGAATTTCACACGTTCAGCAAACCGCTGAATTATGTTCTCTCTATATGTATGTACACATATGTTTACATACATATGTGCATCACGCTGCCTCCAGCAATTCCGTCACCGTGCCAGAGCAGCTACCATGTCACCGTGCCAGCGCATACCATATCATATCATACATACCACGACACATCATCTCATCAATGCACATTACATACCATGACAACGCATATCCTGACGGAGCGATGCCTACCAGATGATGCACTAGCAAACCCAAACATAGCATAGCATCATACGCCATAACCTAACGGATCATACACGGCATAGCGCAGCACCGCTTTCCCCAACATAACATACCATAACATGGTGTACCATATTGTGACTGACGCTAAATCATACCATGCCAGCGCATAGCGGACCCTAATGCATCATCACAGCACACAGCGGTGCACACCGTGACAAACGCATAACATTCCAGGGCGGGACACAACATGTTACGCTGTAGCAGGGCAACATAGCAGGCCGCCATAGCATACCATACATTGACATACCATGACATACCATACCATAGCTTTACGCTGCATAACAGCGCGCCATGGCATGACAACGCAAACCACTGATGTTTGCATACCCGGACATACCATAACAGAACATACCACATCACATTATTCACCATAGCATGGCACACATTAACATTACATGGTCTAGGACAGTCGCAACTGGCGACCTGGCACGACGGCTTCGCTGACCAAGACAACCGAGCCCCACGCGCATCGCTCCAGTAGACGCGCGCACCTCTGGGAACATACGCCGAAGGTTCTGGCGTGGACCGATCAAATCAATATCATTTCCAACCATGCTGTGGTGCTGGGTCCTCGTTTTGAAGAGACAGTGCCCCGCGTTCTTTTCTCCTCTCTCCTCTCTTCTCCTCTCCTCCTCCCCACCTTCCCTCCTAAGTGCCGATTGGCTTGGGCATCCGATCCACAACGCACATCGCACACATCCGTCTACTTGTAGCGTACCAGCACTTCGGCATTCGCAATCTATGCGATGTCAGGATGTTGGATTGCGGCTGTTTGTTCTCTAGCTTGCAATTACATTCCCAAGGGCGGTTGTCGGCCAGACCCCGCAAGTTGTTCATGACTGGCCTCTCCGCCCTGCAGTAGAATCCTCTTTGTGCAACATGTGCAATTCGGCTTCGGGATAAGTGAAACTGGCCACCAACATGGCACTCATTGGCCGCAGTGGCACAGGTGAGAAGCAGTTCGATAAGGAGTCTTCGGCGCAGTGGAAAAAGATCGATGAGCGATGCCGTCGTTCTGCAGGCTGGCGCCGAAGACCACACACAAACAAGTCAGACGGGCGTGCTATCATTCTTGGCAGTGGAATTACTCGCCGTAGCATAACTAGTGGATTATCGGTCCGCGCCAAAAGTAAACGATGCGATTTTGGAATTTGCAGCGTGTGCTTCCCACCTCCCCTGCACTATGCCATCCAAGTCCGAGCTTATCATAAAACCTGCGATGTTCTGCTTCGCTGGATTCGGAATTTACTGATATGGGCAGCCCACCGACGTCTCCCAGCAGTACTTTTGGATTTTAATTCTGGCATTGGTCTTCAATGGCGCGCAGGACATGGGCGTTGGGGTCTCGTGGTTGCCACCCGCACAGGCGACCAAAATGCTCGAATTCGTCGACGATGTGCGCAGACGCGCAACTAAAGCACATGGAAGACTTGGACATGGTAGTTTTCAATGCTGTCCGTGGGGCCGGGGCAACATGTTTTCATACATTCTGGAGGTGGATCACAATCAGACTATTTGGTCCGCGCTGCATGCTTGCACCCGCGGCCTCGGTCGGACCGCTGCCACGTCTGGCGTGAGAGCTGCAGTTGGTTGGATCTGGGCATCCACGCAACCGCATGCCTGCCCTCGCTTGGAGTATTCTCTCGCGGGTGCCATTGGGCTACCATGCAGAGCTGACGAGAATCCACGGATCGTCTTAACCCCACAGGCTATCTCATGGCATCGTGAAACGCTGGGGGATTCACGAAGGCGCGGCGCCAACGGAGCCGAGTTTAATTTTTGATGCAGTTGAACGTCGCATGGGGCAGTCTGCCGATGAGATTGCACAAATTCGACCAGACGGGCAGCTTCCGAACAATGAAATTAGTTTTCGCTTCTCAATGTTGTCGGTGAGGCGGGTGAGCGATTGTTCGCGCGCGCGCCTGACACTTGTCCAGGGTGCCGTCAGCGAGCGCCGCCGCATGTGGTTGCGTTGCTGACGCAGAGGCGTCGGGCGCGACTACGGTCATTGGGAAGCAGATTCTGAGTTGGAGGCTTCTCCTGCGCAGCGGCGGAAGGTGATGGGCAGCAACTTCAGACGCGCGCGGCGGCAGCGCGCGTGAGAATAGATCGCGGAGCTTACAGCAGAGCCTAATCAGGCATATCGGTTTGGACACAGGGCAGAAGTGGCGCGAATTGCCCATCTCCTCTCAGCTCGAGGCGCAGGGCCATGTCGTCGCAACTTCCATCAGGCAGCGCGTGAGCTCTCCACGGCGGAAGACCCCAAACATCGTTTCAACTCCAGCTCTCGGGAAGGCGGCGTGGAAGCGCAACCCGTAGGTTGGCGCCGGCGCGCGGCTGAATATCTTCGCAGAGATGGAGGTGTCGAATCAGGGCCCATCACGCCGCTTTTCTCAAGTGAAGGATTTGAGCGGTCTCGGCTGAATGCGCAGTTTTATTGTCAGGGTTTTGCGCGCCGCGGCCAAGCGCAGAGCGTCGACGCCATGGCTGCTACCGCAGGAGTTCTTTCGGATGTCATCTCGCCCGCGCCACCGCGCCTCGAGGAGATGCCGGGGGCTCGGCTACGAAGCGCCACGGCTCGACTTCAACGTCCGTTTCTTCTTCAAATGCACCATGCGCAAGACATATCGCACTATAGAATCGCCGTTTATGTGGGATCTGGCGCGCGGTGTTGCAAGAGCATTCAAACGCGCGATTCGTGGTCTATGTCAGTTTTGGACAGCGTTCGCATCGTTATGTCTACCCCCCCTCCCCCAGAACAACGCAATCTTGAACCTCGCTCCTCGCGCGGGCGTGTTGCGCGAAGACGGCGGGGGCCGCGATGGCGCGGCAGACTCTCGCGCGGCCCGCGGGCGCAAGCCAGGCCAGCTGGATGGAGCCGATGAGGGGCAGGAAGATTCAAATGCTCGCGAGGGTCAAATCCCGATCAAGCCAAACACAGCTCGGGGCAAAGTCGGGCCGCCGGCCGCCCCCATCACAATCCTAGCGAAGCTGGCCTAAGGCAACAGGTGCGAGTTAGCGGGGCCTATCGGCGCCAGCAACGTCTGCTTCTTGCTCCCACAGGCGGCGGCAATCGTCGCTATCATCAAGCAGGAGGGAGCGGATTGCAACGAGATGGGCAAAACAGAGGGGCGCGATCGCAACAACGGCCCCCCTTGACCACGCATGTTCCTAGCGCTGGTGCAGAACGCATTCGCGTCGACCAACGCGGCCGCCCCAGAGGCCGCCGTGGAAGAATCCGCGTCGTACTGGAATGTGGCATGCGAGAAATCCAAAGAGGAGGCTCCGCTGATGTTGCAGAACCACATTCAGTTTTTACGGCTGCGCCCCTGGCGCTGCGAGAAGACGCAGTTCGACGCTCCGCGGCAGTACAAACTATAGTTCACGGCATCGGCGCGCCATCAGGTAGCGACGGTTCGCGACGAGGGCGGCGCGCATGTCTTGGCGTTTCGCGATGTTGTGGCCCAGATCATGCATCTTCACGCAAGGATCCACAAGCCAGGCAGCGCTCCGAGAGGGGCCTTGGAGCGGCAGCGCGATGCGGAGATCTCCCCCCGACTGGTTGGCAGCAGCAGCAGCCAGAGCGCGCGACCGCAGGTCAAGGGCAGCAAACGCAAGGGCAAGGGCGGCAAGGACAAAGGCACCGGAGAGGGTCTCTGATGGCACGGGTTCAGGAGATCGCAGGCTCGGAAAGATATGAAAATATGGCATTCGGAGGCCAATGCGACAATGAGGCGCGCAGCAATCTTCAGCGCAGCTCCGCCGCCCCCATCTTGACATGTAGTGCAGGTGAACGAGCTGTTTTTCACTGTGTCACGTTTCGGGTGAAGACGCCGAAACCGAATTGGATTTAGAAGCTCTGCTTGATCGTGTCGCCAGTGCTTAGACCATGGCCAGTGAGTTCCCCTTCTCTTCTGTTGAGTCCCCTTCGCCATTCCCGTTCCTGGCCCCGTTCGCCCTTTCCTCCAAGCCTGAAGTTACTGAGTCGACGAAATGTATACTTGTAGGATGGCGACCTCGTAATTCGCCCCTGTTTGCCCAGTTGGGGACTGGTGCTTCTGGAGGGCGACTTATAGGCATTCCCCGTTGTCGTCCACCTTTAACCCAGAGGTGTTCCCCCGCGAAACCGCTCGTAGGATTTCAAAGTGCGCAATACCGATCCGCTTAAAAATATGTTCTCGGCCGCTGACGATGGTCACTTTTTCCCCCCAGGGCCTCAGACACGAACCTATGGATCGCAAGTGGTATTGACTTGCCTTGGCCTCCCTCCCCCCTTCCGGCTTTTGCTCTTCGCGTGTCTCTATTTTGTCGCACCCCTCACACGCTTTGTGGCCCCATTGGGGGCTCCACCTCGGCCCCGCCCCATTTCGGCGCACCCCTCACGAGGATCGTGGCCCCCAGGGAGCTCCACCGGGGGCGCCAATGGAATGGTTCGCGTGGCGGCCCCGCGCCATTCCGGCACATCCTTCGCACGGTGCGTGGGCACATGGGGGCCCCACCGGAGGCCCCTGTGGCAGGGTTCGCATGCGTACCTTGGTCCATCTCGGCACACCCTTCACACGGTCCGTGGCCCCATAGGGAGCTCCACCGAAGGCCCCAATGGCAGGGTTCGCATGGCGGCCCCGCCCAATTCTGGCGCATCCCTCACACGCTTCGTGGCCCCATACGGGAACTCCACCGAAAGCCCCATTGGCAGGGTTCACATGGAGGCCCCGCCCCATTTCGGCACACCCTCACACGTCGTGGCCCCATTGTGGGCTCACCGAAGGCCCCAATGGCAGGGTTCGCATGCGTAGTTGGGTACATTCGGCAAACACACACACACCACACGGTTCGTGGCTTCATAGGGAGCTCCACCGAAAGCTGCAGTGGCATGGTTCGCATGGCGGCCCAGTCCCCTTTTCGGCACTTCCCTCACACGTTGCGTTGCCCCATTGGGGGCTCCACCGAAGGGTTCAGCAGCAGGGCTCGCATGGCGGTCCCACCTCATTTCGGCACACACACACACACACACCGCACGCTTCGTGGCCCCATAGGGAACTCCAATGCGGGCCTCAGAAGCAGGGTTCGCTTGGCGACGTCGCCTTCAGTTCGGCACACCCCTCACACGCCTGGCGGACCCATGTAGAGCTCCTCCAAAGGCCCCAGTGGCAGGGCTCGTATGCCTTACTCTGCCTACTTTGACACACCCCTCACATGTTTCGTGGCCCATAGGGAGCCCCACCGAATGCCCCAGTGGCAGCGCCCGCATGCGTCCCCCAGCCTACTTCGGCACACTCCGCAGACGTTTCGGGGTTCCCATCCGCGCTGCCCCGTGCTCCATCCTTCGCGGCGCGCCGCCTATGATGAGAAGGTAATATCCTACGCCACTTGCAGCTGCATATGGTTGGGTCCTTCGCCAGGGCTTTTTTTTCCCCAACCCTCCTGTGAGTTGGGTCCTCGTGTTGCGTTCAGCGCCTCGCATTTTCCCCTGTCCTCCTCGCCCTCCTCCCTCCACCCTCCTTTCCTCATCCTCACCCACATGTTGAGTGGCACCACAGGGAGCTCCACCGAAGGCCCCAATGGCAGGGCCCGCATGCACACCCCTCACACGTCTCGTGGCACCACAGGGAGCTCCACCAAAGGCTCCAGTGGCAGGGTTCGCATACGTACCCGGGACCATTTCGGCACAACTCTCACACGTTTCGTGGCCTCATAAGGAGCTTCACCGAAGGCTCCAGTGGCAGGGTCTGCATGCGTACCCAGGGCCATTTCGGCACACCCCTCACACGTTTCGTGGCCCCATTGGGAGCTCCACCGAAAGCTCCAGTCGCAGGATTCTCATGCGTACCCGGATCCATCTCGGCACACCCCTCACATATCTCGTGGCCCCATAGGGAGCTCCACCGAAGGCCCCAGTGGCACGGTCCATTTCGGCACACACACACACCACGTTTTGTGGCACCATAAGGAGCTCCACCGAAGGCTCCAGAGACAGGGTTTGCATGCGTGCCCAGGTCCATTTCGGCACATCCCTAAAACGTTTTTTGGCCCCAACGGGAGCTCCACCGAAAGCTCCAGTGGCAGGGTGCGCTTGCGTACCCAGGGCAATTTCGGCACCCCTCACATATCTCGTGGCCCCATAGGGAGCTCCACCGAAGGGTCCAGTGGCAGGGTTCGCATGCGTACCCAGATCCACCTCGGCACACCCCTCTGACGTCTCGTGCCCCCATAGGGAGCTCCACCGAAGGGTCCAGCAGCAGGGTTCGCATGTGTACCCAGGGCTATTTCGGTATTCCCCTTACACGTTTCGTGGCCCAATAGGGAGCTCCACCGAAGGCCCCAGTGGCAGGGTTCGCATGGGTACCCGGGTCCATTTCGGCACATCCCTCACTCGTCTCGTGGCCCCATGGTGGGCCCAGCGAAGGCCCCAGTAGCAGGGTTCGCATGCATATCCGGGTTCATCTCGGCACACCTCTCACACGTTTAGACCCCCACCCCCGACGAGGTCTTGTTGATTCCTCCCACGCGTGTAGGATGTGTTGGCTCCTTCGGTCGGGTAATGTTTTAACCTACGGGCTCAAGGGGCCACGGCCCGCAGGGGACAGCGCTCCATCCCAGACGCACCTCCGACGTTCTCTCGGGGCCCGCTGACCCCCGCCGCCCCCCCTCCTCCCCCCTGGGAAGGCGACGTCGGCAAACGACGCAGGGACCGAAACGGAAGACGACGCCAGAGTTAAGTCGGGCCTGTGCCCTTACAGGGGTGATATCCAAAAGTAATCAAAACATAGTATGGGACAGATCTTTTGAGTATTTCTGGGTCATCTGGGAGTTTTGTTTTTTCACTCTGTTTGATGTCTCCTCCAACAAAAATCCGCCTGCAGGGGGATGTGCCCGACCTGACGCCCGGGGTCCGGGCCCGGGTCGCAGGTCTGCCTCGCGATCCTGGCGCACCCCGGCTTCCGGGAGGTGCACGCCGCGAACCGGCTCGGCCGCACCGCCCTGCACGTCGCCGCGCTCCACGGCGACGCGCGCGTGTGCGCCGAGATCCTGGGGCACCCCGCGTCTGTGGGCCTCGACGTCGGCAGTGCCGTGGACGTCTTCGGCGACGCCGCAGAGGAGCGGAGCAGAAGGGCCTGCCGCCGACGTCCGGATCCGCCTCGGGGGCCTGGCCAGAGAGGGGGCAGGGCGGCAGTGGCACCAGTAGTATTGTTGTTTGTGCTGAGCCCCAGAGGACTTCGCCGACGGTGCTGGTCACGAGCAAGTGGCGCAGCTATTGCGACGCATCGGGCCGGAGGATTGGAAATGCGCGCGCGTGATCTCTTTTGGCCGTCTTTGTTTCTTGTTCTCATTGCCCTTCCTCATCAGCCTACTTTCAAGTCATATGCATGCAGTGGACATCAATGTTGATTGGCCAGAATTGCTTTGCACGATGGTCGACCGAGGCAGTGTTTTGGATTATTCGTTGCAGTCGTTCGCTTGTCTGCCTGACTGGGTGTTTCTCACGTAATGTTAGCTTGTGATTAACAAATAGCCAGACCCCCCTGGGCTGATGAATAAGTAGACTCCGCGGAGCGCGATACTTTTTCCCAACCATCCTGTGGTGCTGGGTCCTCGTTTTGAAGAGACAGTGCCCCGTGTCACCTCACCACACCTCCCGCTGCCCCCTCCCCCACCTCCCGACTCCAATCCCTTGCCTCTGCTCTCCGCATGCCCATCCCATTCTGGCACACCCCTCACACAGTTCGCGGACCCATCGGGAATTCCACCGACGGCCCCAGCGCCCGTATGCGTCACCCACACCCAGTGCGGCACACCCTTCACACGTTTCGTGGCCCCATACGGAGCTCCACCGAAGGCCCCAGTGCCACCGCCCGCATGCGTCACCCACGCCCATTTCGGCACACCCCTCACACGTTTCGTGGCCCCATACGGAGCTCCACCGAAGGCCCCAGTGCAACCGCCCGCATGCGTCACCCACACCCATTTCGGCACACCCTCACACGTTTCGTGGCCCCATAGGAAGCTCCACCGAAGGCCCCAGTGCCACCGCCCGCACGCGTCATCCACACCCATGTCGGCACACCCCTCACACGCTTCGTGGCCCCATAGGGAGCTCCACCGAAGGCCCCAGGCGTCATCCACACCCATTTCGGCACACCACTCACACGCTTCGTGGCCCCATAGGGAGCTCCACCGAAGGCCCCAGTGCCACCGCCCGCATGCGTCACTCACCCATTTCGCCACACCCCTCACAGGATTCGTGGCCCCATAGGGAGCTCCACCGAAGGCCCCAGTGCCACCGCCCGCATGCGTCACCCACACCCATTTCGGCACACCCGTCACACGCTTCGTGGCCCCATAGGGAGCTCCACCGAAGGCCCCAGTGCCACCGCCCGCATGCGCCACCCACGCCCATTCCCGCACACCCCTCACGCGTTTCGTGACCCCATCCACCGAAGGCCCCAGTGCCACCGCCCGCATGCATCACCCACACCCATTCCGGCTCACCCTCACACGTATCGTGGCCCCATAGGGAGCTCCACCGAAGACCCCAGTGCCTCCGCCCGCATACGTCACCACCCACGCACATTCTGGCACACCCATTACACGTTTCGTGGCCCCGTAGGGAGCTCCACCGAAGGCGCCAGTGGCTGCGTTCGCATGCGCCCTCCGTACCCATTTCGGCACACCCATCACACGTTTCACGGTCCCATAGGGAGCTCCACCGACGGCCCCAGTGGCTGCGTTCACATGCGCCCACCGCACCCCTTTCGGCACACCCCTCACACGGTTCACGGCCCCATGGGGAATTCCACCGACGGTCCCAGTGGCTGCTTTCGCATGCGCCCACTGGACAAATTTTGGCACACCCCTCACACGTTTCGTGGCTCTATATGGAGCTCCCCCAAATGCGGTGCATACAACGACGGTGCCCACAACTGCATATTGTTGGGTCCTTCGCCAGGCTAATTTTCTGCAGTTCTTCGGATGTCCGCCGGCTCCCCACGGATCCTTCCCAGTAATCCTTCGGAGGCTCCCAGAAGCCTCCGGAGGCCTTCCCCCGTAGAGGCTAGTGGGCCCTGTGCCGTGCACCTTCCACTGCTGGACCAGGCCCCAGGCCAGGCTGATGAAAGAGTTCTTGGCACAGTGGAGAGCACATGCCAAGAAACTTCCTGCTTGCCTCCAGTGTGCCCAGGTTTTCTTGGGTTTAGATGGTTGTGTTGTGGAAGGCGTGACGCTTCCACACTAAAAACCAATGGACGTCCTGGGGCTTGAGGGTTGGGTTTCTTGTCGAGGTTTCTTGTGGACTGGCCTCCACGGTATTAGACGTGCCCCTGTGCTGTGCATGACCCGCTGCTCGACGAGCCCCTCCGCACCGACCAGCTTTATTTTCGCGTCGCCCCGTTCGCGCCTCCAGCGTTTCCCAGCAGCTCAGCGTTCCCCAGCAGCCCAGCGTTCCCCAGCAGCCCAGCGTTCAGAGCCATGGCACGCGTGCCATTTGTTGTCATGATGAAACTACGTCCTCTTAGTCTCACTTGCGCTCTTTGTGTGTAGCTGCCTGCCTCCATGCCCAGGTCCTCGGACCCGGGCCTACCCTGGCTCCTGACTCCTGGTTTGCCCCTTCCCCTCCTCCCTCCTCCGCAACCCTGCCCTCGGTCCTCCCCACGGGACACCACGGGACACCGCGAGCCACCGCCAGACGGACGGACGGACGGGCGGGAGGGGGAGAATCAGCCTTAGCAACCGCGGACACCACGTGACACCGCGGGACACCGCGGGCCACCGCCTGTCCCGTCGTGTCCCTTGGTGTCCGCCGTTGCTAGGGCGAAGTCAAGACAAATGATTCTCCCCCCCCTCGCCTCCTCCTCGCCCGCTTCTCCCTCGCGCCCTCCCCCGCCCTCCCCGCCCCGCCCCCTGCGGCCGCGCCGCCGTCCGCGCGCCGCCCAGCCCTGCGCGGCGGGGGGCGGGGCGGCGGCGGGGCGCCGGCGGGCCCGGCGGGCGCCGACGTGCGCCAGGGCGCCGCGCCCCCACGGCATGAGGCCCCGGGGGGAGGGGCGTCAAGTCAAGTCAAGTCCGGTCGAGGGGCCCATGGAAGCAAGCGTGTCTCACGCCCTCCGGGGAGGGGCGGGTCGCGTGTGATTCTGGAGGGGTAGAAAAACCACAGGCATGATGAATCGTCGACTCCCAGGAAGAGGACGGGAAGATCTGGGGAGTGGGGGGGAGACAGTGACCCAGGAGATGTGCGGAAATACGGGGAACCCTGTTATTTGTGTGTGTGTGTATTTATTTGTGTGTCCCAGGGCCCCTTCATTGTTGACCTCTTGTCCCCCCCCGTCCCCGAGGTTCTTCCTCGTCCTGCCAGTCCTCGCGGTCCTGTACAGTGGAGGCCCATGCCAAGAAACACCCCGCTTGCCTCCAGGGTGCCCCGGGTTTCTTGGGCTTCGAGGGTTCTGCGATGGAGAGCGTGACGCCCCCACGCCAAGAATCAACAGACGTCCTGGGGTCTCAGGGTCGGGTTGCCCGTGGCTGTATATAGCGCCTCGTGAAAACAGCACACGGCAAGGGATCGCAGGGTGTTTTCTGGACGTCTCGCGCCTGCCCTGTCCTGACGCAAGCGATCAGTCGGCGAGCCAAGACACTCTGTGGGTATGGGTAGGGGTTTCAGTGCGGAGGCAGCTGAGCTGCCAACTCTCGAGCTGCCAGGCGTCCTGATTCGTTTCTGCAGATATTGTCATAAGCAGTTGGCCCCGGCAACGAAAGAGCATCATCATAGTTTGGCATAAGCTTATCATGTATAGAGGTTGCTCGTCGATGATCAGTGACACGGAGCATGCCGTTTGACAGTTGTCTTCCTGTCTGTCCAGAACATACATGCTCAAGTTTTTTTGCGGCCCCGCCGTCCCTTTCTCCTTCCTCTTCTTCCCTCTCACGGGGCTTCAGTGTGGAGGCAGCTGATCTGCCAACTCTCGAGTTGCCTGGAGTCCCAGGCGTCGTGATTCGCTCTTGCAGATATAACGGAAGAGCATCATCATATTTTGGCATGGGAGTAGAGCATTTATCCTATAAAATGTTGCCGTTCCGCCTGCGTTTCTTGGATCCGCGCTGGGACCCCCTGGCGGCGCCCCTGGCGCCGCCACTGGCGCGCTCTGCGCGCCAGGGAGTGGTACAGCGCAGATCCAAAATTTCGCGCGGAGCGCCGAAAGTTCATATGGCGTTTTCCTTTCTCTAGGCCATCGAGGAGCATCCTTAATCATCAAGCCAATCACGCACGCACGAAGTCGACAAAAAAGCACGGGGAAAGGACGTCCGAGCCATGGCCAGCCATGGGCGCCGAGGATGGGCCAAGAAAGCGTCCAGCCCCCCTTCTGCCGTGTCCTCTCTCTCCTTTCCTCTTACAGAGGCTGCCGAACGCGCACTCGCTCGTTGCGTCACTTGGGCGTCGGCGCGCGGCCGACGCGGGTCTGCGCTCGCGCGTGCTGGAGGGCAGAGTTTGCCAGCACAAGGCAGCCCCTTTCTCCTTCGACCCTCTCGACGACGACGCCTGCTCCCCGGCGCCCAGGCGACGGGGGCACGCCCGTTGGCTCGCCCTCGCCGCCGCCGCACATGTGGGCCGCCCCGCTGGCGGCTACACGCTGCCGGCGCAGTATAGCTTTCTCCTGGGGGACCCGGCTGCCGCCCCAGCCTGCGCCCCGATCCGATCGGCATCGAAGCTCGAGGACCGATCGGCGACCTTGCCGCCGCCGGACACGCCGGCCGCCCCGCCGGCGGCTGCACGCGATCTGGCACCGACTTCGGGTGGGCTGACCCAACAAAACGGGGTCCAGCGACAAGGGGATGGTGCAATAGATTTGGTGACATAGATTTGTGGGGTTGCAATACATATGGGGCGTGCAATACATTCCGGGGCGTAAATGTATTGCTGGGCTTTCGCGTGCAATACACTAGTTGCAATTCAATACCATACCATGCAATTCTCTGGCGCAATACGTTTGCAATCCAATTGCCTCAAATCTATTGCACCACCCACTTTCAGCTGGACCCCCTTTTGGGTCACCCCAAATCCGGGAGGGCTCAGCCTGTGCTCGTGAGCTCAAAGATGTTTTTGCATGTTCTGCTCTGGCTGCCGCTCTCGACTGCGAAGAAGAAGATACCGAGCAAGCCCCGGTGATGTTTGGAGCCTTCAAGCACTCGGGAGATCGTTTCGCGAGGCCCTTTGACTTTGATTATGGCCAGATTTGGGATGACTGGTGCGTCTTTGCAATCCATCATCCGTGGGCGTCGCAACTCACGGCCGCGTCTCCTGCATCATGTGTGTGCATATATTTATATGTATATATGAAAACATATATATATAGATCAAAAAAAACACTTCACACCTGGCCCCGCCCACCTCAGGAACATCTGCGGCAAATCCTTGGTCCCCCCTTCCCAGGGCCTCACCGACAGCCCCAGGAGGGCCTCGGTGGCCCAGGACGCCCCCGAGACTGCCCAACGGTGGTCTAAACCGGCCAACGACGTGCCTCCGACGGGCCTAGAGGCCCCCTAAGAGGGCCACAAGAGGCGTCCAAGAGGCCCCCAAGACTGCCCAAGAGAGCTCCAGGCACGGTGGCTCAAGCTCAAGGCAAGTCGACTTGGGCCGCGGTGGCACAGTCGATACTTCTGATCACCAGCATTCGTTCATCTGGCCCGCACGCGTGCTCGATATGGTTCCCCTCCACGTTGCTGTCATTCTCTCGCCACTCTTCGACATCGTGCAGGGCACCTGCGTGGACACCGACTACGGAGCTACAAAGTCTAATGGTTGGGGTTGCGTTTCATAGACTGATTGTCCGTCTCATGGTTGGTGGGTTGCTAACTATACCGACCGGGACTTCAGTTTTGGATGTGTGTTGTGCATGCGGCGGCGGGGTGCCTGCACCTGCATCTTGTGGAGGCTCAGCATCCAACACCATCGATGTACCCTTTGTAGTTGCACGGTTTCCCTGGATCCTCGAGGCTACGTCCTCGAAGCTCGGCCCTGATTTGGTGTTCAGGACGTTGGAGCTCTTGAGGTATGGGCGGCCCCTGCATTCCGCCTCGGCTGACCTTCCTCGGCCGTGCGCAGAGGGGGATGGCGCGAGGGGGTGGTCTTCGTCGAATGCTGATCTCTCCTCATCTCTCCCTCCTCCCATGTCCCTCTCCTCCTACTCCTTCTTCCCCGCTCCGTCTTCCCGAGACATGTTTAGCACCTTTTTCGGTCCAGTCCCTGTCCCCAACCAACACAGCACCAACTACTCCACAACCTCCGTCTCCAACACAGGGCCCACTGCTCCAGAGCCTCCATCTGCCACGCGTTACCCGTGATTCTACAGCCTCCATTTCCACCTCAACAACAGCAACTACTCTACAGCCTCCGTCTCCAACGCGCCACCCACTGGTATACAACCTCGACGCGAGACAGTGGTTGGGAGTTGTCTAAAAAAACGTCTGGACCCGTCCGCCAGCCGCAGCCCCCGCTCCACCCGCTTCGAACACAATGCTGTCTCATGGCTGGTGCCCCAGCTTCGCACGTTCTTACCTTCACTGCTCTGACCAAGGCACAGGCAGCCAAGCTGCATAATGTTAGCACAGCTGTTCAAGGCAAGCAGCTTCCCTCAGCTCAGCTTGAGCAGGCAGAAGCCATCATGAGTTCTCCCACTGAGGTGGCTACCCAGGCGGATGCTACATTCAAATCGAGGTCTCAGGCGGATTGGCGAGCTTGGCTCACAAAAGGGTTGGATCAAGGAGCTCGCAATGTCCATACGATTGTGAAGGACCCTTCCCCGTGGGCCCCCACCACCACCCCTGGCTTGACAGAGACGGTGCTATTGTTGCTGACCCTCTGAACTTCCTTGCTAGTGAGGGAGACAAGTTTGCGAGCGCCTGGGGTCTCGGGAAAGGCAATAGTGGTTCACCCTCTTTGGTCTCCCCCCTCCCCAGAGCTTCTCCAGAAGAACCCAGGGCTGTTAGCAAGAAGTATAACAAAGACATCTGCTGTCACGTATGATGGCTTCATTGCAGGCATTTCCATTTATTGTGCGATGAGGGTCTCATCGCTCTTGGCATGCTGTTTGAGTTGATGGTATCGCTCGGCCAGCCTCCGAGTCAGATGGTCGCTGTGCCTTGGCCCTCCTCTCGAAACCCACCAGCGGTCACACGCCGAAAGGGGTTTCCTGCGCCTGGTATAGGGTGTGGGGCCGCCTTCGACGGCCCCTCGCCCGATTCTGGGAACACAAAAGCCCTCGTCGGTACTGGGCCGCTGGTGAGTTTCGAGGGGCCTCAGGCGTGGTCTGGAGGCAGTCGGTGAGAGCTGAATCCGGCACGCCCAGGAAGGAGGTGAACGCCAGTCTTTCCTACGACATGCTTAAGTAGCATGGGACGATAAATTTGGACGTGCTTGAGGCTCGCAGTGTTCAATGTGCGCTGCCCCAGGTGATCACCCGACACCTTGTTTGCCCACAGGTGTGGCAGGGTCGTTTCGATTGGGGGGCTGCTGGACGGCCTTCTCTTTACGTTTAACGGAGTCATCGTTGGATGCAGCGTGGCCACTACCCACATCCGTGTGTTCGCCATGTCCCCGTTCGACAATGTCCCCACGTTACCTCGGCAAGAGTTGGACGCTCATAGTGATGAGATCAGCATCTCATGTATTGGTTCGTATGATCATGTTGTGTCGTGTTTTGTCAAGTCGTCGGCCGCCCTTGCATTGCCAGCTTTCATTGAACAGTAGTTGCACGCCTGCCTCTTCCAAAGTTTTGGGCCGTGACCTTGCTGTGACGCTTGGCCAGCTTGGCGGCGAGATTGTTGACGCCACGGTGAAGCTCGGAGTTGGTTTCTGTGCTAGTGCTTTTGCTTGCGTTTTGGGCAAAAGCTCGAAGCTCAAAGCCCGTCTCGCCCTGTTGTGCAGGAAGTCGAAGCGTCTCAGGAGACAGGCTGGGAACCTTGGTCGACGGGTCCTGGATCAAGGGAGGAAAAACCACCCGGACCATTTGGGTTCACTAAACGGCCCTGGGCTTTTATTCAACAGCCCTGCCCTGATGGAGTCCTTCTTTGGGCGCGCTTGCTGCACGACTTCGCGTGTCGGGGTGGTTGCTATGGGGGGATGTGTTGACTTCTGCTGAGGGCGTTCGCGTGCGGCCCCTTCCCTGGAGGGACGCACGGCGCGGATGTCCTCGGAGTCCGCGACCCGGCTCTGCCGACTCGACGCTCAGGCCGCTCTCGACGGACAGGCCCCTCTGGCTGCGGTCGGCATTCTTTCGGAGGACCCACGCTGGAGAGAGCGGCGTGGGCTCCGCTGCTGAGATGGAGCAGAAGAGCTCGGCCTAACGCAGACCAGAACTCATCCCTCCTCCCTTCACCATCCCAGGCGCTCCCAGGCGCTCCCAAGCGCTCCCAGGCGCTCCCAAGCGCTCCCAGGCGCTCCCAAGCGATTCCGGCACGCTCCCAGGCGCTCCCAGGCGCTCCAAGGCGCTCCCGCCAAGCTCCGAGTTGAAACGGTATTGGCAGGCTGCCTTTGCTCTTCCGCGTCTTACCTGGCCCGCAGCGCTCGGCCCTCTCTCGGCGCTCCGGCTCGCCGCGTCAGTGTGTCTCGGCTGGGCCGTGAAGGATTGCACTGCTGCTGCGGGCGGTCGCGGCTACTCCCCCAGTCTGGGCTTGCTTCCGAGCTGATTCTTCCCAGCCTCCTGGGGATCCTCTGTAAGGATGCGGAAAAGAGGGGGGTGATGACTAGGGGGGGGTGGATATCATGGCGGGGGCCATGATATCTCCCAGATCTCATGGCGCCTCTTCTTGTTTCTTTACGTCCCTGGCCCCCCCGCTGGGCCGCGCACATGCCGCCGGTCATGATTTGCACCCCCCCCTCTTGGACACCCCCCTCTTGGCCGCTCCCGGAATTTGTAAGGATGCCTACCATAGGGGCCTCGAGAGAGATCTGTGGCGGATGCGGGATACGGATTGCAGGGTGTGTCTTGACGTTCCCAAGGCCGCCATGAACAGCAAGAGGTCTACCCCAGCCCAGCGATGCTGGATCCGCGCGTGTTCCTGCGATGCCATCTGGACAGCCGGCAGAGCGCTCGCTTGTGGGTATCAGGTGTATCATCTGTGTCCTCTCTGTCGGCACGCCCCAGACAGCATCTTTCGCCGTCTTTGGTGGAGTTCGGCCGAGGCGGTGGTGCAGCTGATGTCTCAGTTGTCCCCCGCCTCGGTCGTCTCAGATGCTAGTGCTGCGTGGGCCGTTGAGGATGACAGCCACGCGGTGGCTATTTATACGAGAGGAGCCTTCTCTCACCCCGCCGATGTCTTGCGCTCTGGAAGGCTCCGAAGCTCTGACTTACGCCTGGCATGTTGAATCGCCCTCTAGCCCGACTGGACCCAGGGAACCCGTCAATGGGGAGATGTGAGGGCACCTTTTTCTTGACGGTTCCTGCCAGCGTCGTCCTATTCGTGAGTTTTGCCGTGCTGTTTGTTGCATCCGTATGAATCCGACTGGCGGGGAGTGCCTTGGAGAGGTGCGGGGGCTTGTTTGGGCACATTTCCCCCCAGATACCTCAGGCGGCTGAGTACTCAGCCAGGCGCGTGGTCTCCCAGTTCCTAGTCCTTCCAGCCGCCCTCCCTTTACAGCGTCTGTGCTAACAGCGCCCATCATTCCCGGCTTCCTTTTCCCGAACGGCACTCGGGTAGGAGAGTTTACACAGGTATGATTTTGCAGGCCATCAGTTGTGAGGGCGTTTTTTGTTGTTCAAGCAATTGTGAAGGCCACCTTCGCCCTCCTGATCATGAAACAATAATTCAAGTCGATGCATGAGTTGCGGTTGTTTGAGTTCACTGTATTATAGTTGCTAACAACTTTCCTGCCCTTCCCAGACTTCCCAGTGTCTCACGCGCCTGGAAGAAATTGTCGGGCTTGTGGAGGTGTGCTCAGTGCTCGGTTGGCAGGAGGGCCCCGCAAGAGCACCCCGAGACCTCGCTCCATGTTCCCCAGCGCACGGGACATCGTGTCTTGGCGCTCCCGTGTTCTGATGGTTCTGTGCTTTTCATGTGCATCTGTTGCAAGCGTGACTCTGTTGGAGACATGGTTAAAAGACTGGGTGAAACATGTGTAAGCTTACCAGCCAGACTTTCTGCCACTGAGTGGAGTTTTTTTGCCGAGGCACGCATCCGCATGGGAGACGCCGGTACGCCACAGTTGCGGTGGACAATGTTCTCGAGTTTTTTGTTGCAGTGCTGTTTCGAGGCTGCGCTCCTGTGTAGAGTGCGCGCGTTTGACAGCCCGAGGCCTGGCCGCGGTGGCGAGGCCTCGACTGTGGTGACTTTGGGTTGTCCAGCCTGTGTTCGCCTTCCTTTTGCCCCGCCCTTGTTCGATACCTGGACCTTGGGGGCTCCTTTCGCAGCACAGGAGGTTGTCTTGTGCAGCTGGCACTCGCCTCTGTGTCGGGCCTGTCTCAAGCCGCGGGCGGCTCTGCCCCCGCTCTGTTTGCGCCTGCTGCGCGGCGCCTTTTACTCACATCATCTCCCACATCTGTTGTTGAGAAGTCGCCCTAGCGGGTATTGTGGTGAGACCGTCGGAAACAAACTAACACCCGCTTCTCCAGCACAGCACTCATTCTCCCACAGTTCCCATCTCCAACATATCACCTACCATTCCGCAGTCCCCATATCAAACACACCACCCTCTACTTAATAGCCCCCATCTCTAACACAGCGCCCACATACTCTACAACCCCCATCCCCAACATGCCGCCCACGACTCCACAGCCTCAACCCCTAACGCCACCACAATACTCCTCCGACCGCCGCCGCCGCCCGCCCGCCTTCGCCTGCTCCCCCAGCACAGCAGCCACTGCTCCACAGCCTCCATTTCCAACGCGGCACCGACTACCCCAGTGCCTCCATATCCCATCTCATTATTTTCCTGCACGTCCGTTACGGAGTCAAAAGAGTCGTACGGGGTTCGGATTTGCTTTTGAGGCCTACGTGTGCGAGATTGGTCGGTACATTCTTCGTTTCCGAAGCAGCAGTCAGTAGATCATTGCCTCCATTTGCACCACATCATCCACTACCCTTCACCGCCCCCATCTCCAATGTAGCATCCACTACTCCAAAGCCTACGTTCCATTATTCCACTGTCGAAAACGACTACGGCGAACCATTGCCGCCCATGGGTCTTCTATGTGGCCAAACATTTGGGCAACGCTTGGCCAGGCTTCTGGACCATGCGCTCCCCCAGCCTTTGTGGAAGCCCTTCGGGGAACATGTTGTGGAGGAAGTGGAGGATGAGGAGAAGGAGGACACAAAGGAGCATACGGAATAGGATGAGGAGACCTCTTCAAAGTTTTTTGGGTCATCCTTGGGGCCTCCTGGGGGCTTCCTGGGATTCTCTCGAAGGCCTTATGGGGGCCTCTTTGGGCCTCTTGGGGGCCTTTGGGGGCTTCTTTGGGGCCCTTTGGCCGTCTTGGGTTCCTTTGGGGGCGCTTCAGGGTCGCCTCGGAGCCCATCTTGGGCGTCTCGGGGGCCTTGAGGCGTCTCGGGGCCCTTGGGGGGCCGGTTTGGTAACCTTTGGGGCCGTCCAGGGTACCCCTCCCCAAAGACAAAGAGGGTTTGGAACATGGAAGACCGAACTCGTTAGACTACCTATGCCCAGAGGGCTGGTGGGGTTACAGCCTCAAGATCAGCTAAACCCTGCTATCGCCAGGCTTGCAGGAGTGTCTCGTGCTGCTGTCCGTAGTGCGGGTTCTGGGACATGGCCGTCGATACAAACAGGAGGAGGAGGAGGCGGATGAAGAGGAGCAGACGGAGAAAGGGCGAGATGAGGGTGGAGCAGTTGGGAGGGATCGGCGATGAGGAGGGGGAGAGGCATCAATGGAGGAAGAGGGTGGGTTGAGGAGACAGGAGGAGAGACGGGGAGGTGGAGGAGAGAGGGAGAAGAGAGGCTACAGGAAAGAGGAAACGGAGGCGGAGGAAACGAATGGAGAGGAGAGATATGAGCCGCCATTCTGATCAGGTCCTTGGCGATCAGCAGTGCGACATAACGGTCTGCGATAGTCTCTTCGACACGTACGCGTATGTGAACATAGCCACCGTGGCGATTCTAGATGAGGGGAGGGCGCCTGCGGAGGAGGAGGAGGAGGAGGAGGAGGAGGAGGAGGAGGAGGAGGAGGATGTGTGTCAGTTCTATTGGTGAGCGGCACCGAGGCCACATTTGGGGTGACTGTGCAAACACGTCGGCAGCAGGGCGGGCAGGCGCTTCTGGCCTGCGGAGCAGAAGGGGTGACACGCCCAGGGGCCCGAGCGTGATCCAGACCAGCTTGTACCACCTGAACTGGCTTGAGCCACGATGACTACGGAATGAATGAGTGAGGAGGTAGGACGTTGTACCCATAATACCGCTACCCTCGTTTTCGCCTTTTTGGGCCTCATGGGAGGCCATCGTCGTCATCGCTGGATTCGCTGCGAAATTCCGGTCAGAACGCACACCAGGAAAGGTCTGGGGAGTAGCGGTATCGGCACCTTCTGGTTTCTCCCGGAATCGGGAGGGAGGGGGAGGGAGGAGGGCTAGGAGGGCAAAGGAGGAAGGGAGGAGGAAGAGGAGGAAAAGGAGGAGGAAGAGGAGGAGGAGGAGGTTCCCTCCTCCTTCTCGGGTCAAGATGTGCGGTGCCGTGGAGCAAAATGGCGCCCCAGTGGCGGGCGGCGGCAAGGGGGGGTGGGCGGGCCCGAAGGGAGGAACGAAAGCACACGGCGGAGGAGTCTGGGAGCGACCCCCCCACCCCAGAAGAGGGGCTCACAGCGGCACCGCCTCCTCCTAATTCTTCCCTCGCCCCGTCCACGTCGTCTTCCATCCTCCCCGTCTTTTCCGTCCTCTACACAGGAGGCCTACGCCATTCCCGTAAGCGCTGGTTTCCGCTTCCCGTCGCGTTGCCTGCTTGTAACAGTTGTTGTTGGTTGGTCCTCTTCGTCCGTTTTGGTTGCAGGGTTTATTCGGAGCCTCATGGAGACCTCGAAGGTGGTCTCCAGAAATTGTGTGTGTGTGTGTGTTTGCATATGTGTGTGTGTGTGTGTGTGTGTGTGTGTGTGTGGGGCTCTTGGGTCCCTCTATTGGGCCATTACTTGGGGAAGTGGAGGAGGGCGGCGCCTGCCGTCTGGGGCTTTCAGAAGCCCAGACAGATTAGACACCGAGAGCACTGAAAAACCTCAGGACAATCGCTGGTTGCCTCTGGCGGCCCTGTTGCGGGATGTCTTGGGGCCCTCGTGGGGCGTCTTGGGGGCCTCTTGGGTCGTCTTGGGGCCATCTTGGGCGTTCTGCAGGCCCCTCTGGCGTGTTGGGGCCCTGCGCGAGTCGTCTTGAAAGGCGTCTCCGGCATCTCCGAGGCGTCGGGGGGCACATGTGGAGACCCAGGGAGCACAGGAGGTGCGTTGGTGAGTTCTTCGCCCCCCCCCTCCGTCTCCAACGGGACTTTGGACAACCGGAGAGGAGGACAGGGGGAGGGGAATAGTCAATCATGTTACACGCTTTCTCAACGCCAACAAGCGGGAGATCGGCGGATCTTCCTTTTCATCGTCTTCTTCCTCGTCCTTCTCTTTCTCCTCCCTCCTCCTCCTCCCACGTTCCCCACTTCCTGGGCTCCCCGTCCCTTCCGTCCTCTTCCCCCTCGGTTTCTGCCTCTCCGCCTTCCCGCCCTCCCCCCCTCCCTTCCCACGCCCATCCTGCCCGCCACCAGTCCCGCTTCTGAAGGGTTGCCCAAACCGTGCAAAACCTTCATTTCCAATTCCTTTCCATGCCCACACTCTCTCGGGGAAGGAAGGAAGGAATGAGGAGGAGGAAGAGGAGGAGGATGAGAAGTTGGATGAGGATCTGACAGGAGCAGGGGGAGAAGGAGGGCTCAGAGAAGGAGTGGGAAGAGAAGGAGGAAGCGGGGTGTGCAGGGCCCTCCCGCACTCCTGATCCCCATCCCTCCTCCCATGCTGTGCGCAACCCCGCTTCTCCCCTCGCCGATTCTTCTTGTCGTTATTCGTCTTCCGCTCTCCCCTTCACCCTGCCCTCATCCGGGCCCGAGTGGGCATGGCAAGGACCCCAGCTCCACCGTCTTCGAGGGTCAGGACGACGCCATGTTCAAGATCGTGGAGGAGCCCTCCTCCCCCTCGGCCATTCCCTACAGTGGAAGCCCGTGCCAAGAAACACCCTGCTTGATTTCAGGGTTTCGATGGTTCTGCTGTGAAGTACGGGACGTTCCCACACCAAAAGTCAATGGACGTCCCAGGGTCTCAAGGTTGGGTTTCTTGTGGTCGGGCCCCTACTGTAGGTCATTCACCCTCCACCAGGCCACTCCCTCCTCCCTCCTCCTTCGATATCCTCCCCCACGCTCCTCTTCGAGCTCCTCCCCGGGGTCGTTCCTCCCCCCTCCCTCTCCTGCTCCTCGTCCCCCCTCCCCGCTTCCTTCCAGACCTGCACCGTGCGACTCTTGCTCTCCTTTCTTTCCCTGCCTCCGCCCAGAAGATGCTCGGCCCTCTCCGCGAACTGTGTCAATCACAGGATTGGGCAAGCGTGACTTCCGCGCGTTTGTTTAACAATCCGATTGGTCTCGGTGTTCCAAAGTGGTGCTCCCGCTGCGTCGTGGGCCTCAGTTTCGGATCGGCACTGTGCTCGCGTCGTTCAGATTGGCGCTCTTGCCCAGCGCGGGCCATTTCTTGACCCGAGTCCTCCTTGATCGTTGCCACCCCCCTCATCATTTCCCTCCTCCTCCTCCACCTCCTCCTCCTCCTTATCCTTCCCTTGGTCCTCCTGCTCCTCCCGCACATTCCACTCCAGTTCCTGCTGCTGCGGTTCGTTCTCGTCCTCTTTCTGCCTCCTCATCATTGTCACCCCTTTTTCCTCCTGCTCATCCGCCTGCTCACCCGCCACCTCCTCTTCCAATCTATGCAGCCTCGATTACGCATACATGGAGATCATATGCAGGCACGACTAGTGAGGGGTATGCTGAAATTGGCGCGGGCCCGCATGCGGACGCTCCTAGGTAGGTGGGGCCCCAGCTGGTGACAGACCCTCCCATGTTCTCGACGCTCCCAGATTTGCCAGATTGGACGTGGGCCCGTGTGTGTGTGTGTGTGTGTGTGTGTGTGTGTGTGTGTACGCTCCCATGTGAACTGAAAGTGGAGATCCTTATGGGAGCGGTCGGAGTTGCGTAAGGGTTTTCCGAAGTGGGAGTGGGCATGCATGCGAGCATTGCCACTAAGCTTCAGTGTTCGAGCTCCTTGTGGGCACATGATCGGCTTGCGTGGCGAGAGCCCGCATGCGGACGCTCTTGCTGGGGCCGTGGGTGGGGCTCCCCCTCCTCCTCTTCCTCCTCCTCCAACTCCTCCTCCTCCTCCTCCTCCTCCTCCTCCTCCTCCTCCTCCTCCTCCTCCTCCAACTCCTCCTCCTCCTCCTCCTCCTCCTCCTCCTCCTCCCTCCTCCTCCTCCGCGCGTCTCGCATGCGGACGCTCCCGTTGGGGCCGTGAGTGCAGCTCCCTATGGTGGCACGGTACGCGTGACGGGTGTGCCGAAATTGGCGTGGGCCGGCATGTGGACGCTCCCACGGAGACCGGTGCATCTCCCCATGGGACGGCGATCCGCGCATGGCGGAGCGGATTTACAACAAAGACCGGACTCGAAAGAAGAGTCTTGTTAGGTTGTGAGGTGCAGTCAACCCTAGTAGTAAGGACGAACAACCTTCCAAGGCTAGCCTTGCAGCCTTGCCTTCGGCCCATCCTTAGCGACGTTCGCTTGCAAACCTCGTTCGCAAGACAGAAACATGGCCCTCTAAGGCTCTTGCATCCTTACCGCTTATCTTTGTTTTCGGCGCCACCCAAACATATTGATAGCATATATGCATCACCTCCAAATGGGCGACGTGCGCGCCGAGAAATCGTCTAGTACTTATGTGCTGAATGGCGGGCCTTTTCTGGCTAAACCGCTCGAGAAACGATACACTTCAAGGTGTATTGACGATATGTTCGGGTCGGACGCACGCCTTCGAGGAGGGCGCGCAGACTTAGTATGTCCTTCTGTGTCTCATAGTCTGCGGTCTGGCTGTAGCAGCGGCCCCTCTCCTCGACCTCGGACGCCGCGAGCCATGAGGCGCCGTTGTGGGGCCCCTGGGCCTCGACCACCTCTGGGAAACACGCTACTCCTCCTGAGACGGTTCTTGGGTGTTTCTTCCTGGGTCCCGGGGAGGGCACCCCAGAGGTTTGGGTTGCGACAAGTTGGCCGCCCCATCTTTGTCCCCCCCCGTCCCCTCCTCCTCCTCCTCCTCCTCCTCCTCCTCCTCCTCCTCCTCCTCCTCCTCCTCCTCCTCCTCCTCCTCCTCCCCCCTCTGTCCTCCCCCTCGCTCCTGTCCTCCGCGGCCGCTCCTCCCCCTTCCTTCCCGTCCTGCGCGTCCTGCGGTGGGTGCCCTCCGCCTCCCCCCTGCCCTCCGCGGCCGCTCCTCCTCCGCGCCCCCTTCCTCTTGCAGCTGGACTAGCATTTGTTCGAGGGCCCCCGACAATTCGAGCGCCCGTGCGGATTGCCTACCTGCCGTGCCGCGACGAAGAATGTCGTCTTTGCCCTCCCCGACCCCCTCCCTTTCCGCCCCGAACCTACCAGAGGAGTCGATGACCCAGGACGACGCGCGCGCCGGTGGTTGCTTAGCGTCGTCGATCGGCGACAGGAGCCCGCCTTCTGCTGCCTTTGCAACGACTGCCGCAGTGGCAGGGGCGGGCTGAGAAGAAGGCGACGGCAAGTTTTGCCAAGGGGGCGCGTCGTGAAGAATTCATGACGCCGCAGGCCTTGGCACACTGAAGTGTTTGGCTCGGTCTCCTATTCCTCCTCCTCCTCCTCCTCCTCCTCCTTCTCCTCCTCCTCCTCCTCCTCCTCCTCCTCCTCCTCCTCCTCGGTCGGGGAATCGGGGAGTCGGGGAGCTAGTCAGCTGGGCCGGTTGGGGCTTCGGGCAGTCGGGGTGTCGGGGAGTCGGCGTGGTCGGGGAGCTTGGAATCGGGGAGGAGGTCGGGGAGTCGGGGAGTCAGTCGGGGAGTTGGGGACTCGGCCAGTCGATGATTCGGGGAGTCGGCCAGTCGGCCAGCCGGGGATCCAGGCAGTCGTCCAGTCGGCCAACCCGGGAGTCGGGGAGTCAGGGGGGTCGGACGGGGAGTAGGGGAGTGGGGTTGTCGGTTTGTCGGCCAGTCGGCCAGTCGGGGAGTCGGTCATTCGGGGAGTCTGGGAGTCGAGGAGTCGGCCAGTCGGGGAGTCGGCCAGTCGGGGACTCGGCCAGTGGGGGAGTCGGAGAGTCGGCCAGTTGGGGATCGTCGGGGAGCCAAGGAGTCGAGGTGAGTCGGGGAGCTGGGGAGTCGGGGAATCGGCCAGTCGGTCAGTCGGGAAGTCGGGCAGCCGGGGAGTCGGGGAGTTTGGGAGTCGGGGAGTCGGCCAGTCGGGCAGTCGGCCAATCGGACAGTCGGGCAGTCGGGCAGTCGGGGAGTCAAGGATTCGGGGAGTAGGGGAGTCAGGGAGTTTGGGAGTTTGGGTGTCGGGGAGTCGGGGAGTTGGGGGGTCGGGGGGTCGGGGGGAGTCGGGGAGTTTCGGGAGTCGGGGAGTCGGCCAGTCGGGCAGTCGGCCAATCGGACAGTCGGGCAGTCGGGCAGTCGGGGAGTCAAGGATTCGGGGAGTAGGGGAGTCAGGGAGTTTGGGAGTTTGGGTGTCGGGGAGTCGGGGAGTTGGGGGGTCGGGGGGTCGGGGGGTCTAGGGGTCGGGGAGTTGGGGAGTTGGGGGGTCGAGGAGTCGGGGAGTCGGCTCATCGGGGAGTCGGGGGGCCAGGGAGTCGGAGATTCGGGGGGCGGGGAAGTCGAGGAGTTGGGGGGTCGGGGGATCGGGCAGACGGGGAGTCGAAAAGACGGGGAGACGAGGGGTCCGGGAGTCGGGGGGTCCGGGAGTTGGGCAGTCGGGTAGTCGGGGAGTCGGCCAGTCGTGTAAGGTTATGTTTAGTTCTCGTGTTTGGGAGGCCCGAAGTGCGCGGTGACACAGCGCTGGTCACGGATGGAGACTCTGCGCAAACGATGTTTCTTTCCCTGAGAGTGTCCCGGGGAGAAAGAAAACGTCCAGGAAGGGCAATTCGCAAAACATTTATAGGACACAACCATCAGTTGCGAGTACCGTCGTTGTGAGTATCGCCTTCGGTGTCCTCTCCTGATTGGGACACGAAGCGTGTGAAGAGTGTGCCGACATGGGGCGGGGCGTCCATACGGGCGCTATCATTGGTGTTTTCGATAGAGCCCTTTATCGGGCCACGAAGCGTGAGAAGGATGTGCTGAAATAGGGCGGGATAGCCATGCCGGCGCTGTCACCTGGGTCGGTCGGGCCTTCGGTGGAGCTCCATACGGGACCACGACACGTGGCATGCGGGCCCTGGCACTGGGGCTTTCGGTGGAGTTCCCGATGGGGCCACGAGGCGTGTGACGGGTGTGCCGAAATGCGGCGGGGCGGCTGCATGTGGACACCGCCACTGGGGCCTCAGGTGGAGCTCCTCTAGGGGGCCACGAAGCGTGTGAGAGGTGTGCCGAAATAGCGCGGGGCAAACACGCGGACTCTGTCACATGGGGCCTAAGGTGGAGCTCCATCTTAGGCCACGAAGCGTGTGAGGGATGTGCCGAGACGGGCGGCGGTGGGGCCGTTCATGGAGCGGTGGGGCCACGAAACGTCGGAGAGGTGTGCCGCAAGGAGCGGGGCGGCTGCATGTGGACACCGCCACTGGTGCCTGAGGTGGAGCTCAAGATGTGGCCACGGACCGTGTGAGAGGTGTACCGACATGGGTGGGTGGCCACATGCGAACCTGCCGGAATCGGTGGGGCGGCCATATGGGAACATGGGCGTTGGGGCCTGAAGGTGGAGCTCCCAATGGGGCCATGAAGCGCGTGAGTTGGCGTGCCGACATGGGTTGGGTGGCGCAGGCGGAGCTCCCTATGGGGTCCTGAATCGTGTGAGGGGTGTGCCGACATGGGCTGGGCGGTCACATTGGGGCCATAGGTGGGGCCGAAACGCGTGATGGGCGTGCCGAAATGGTTGGGGCGGCCACATGGGAACCTGGCCACTGGGGCCTTAGATGGAGGTCCCGGTGGTACCACGAAGGGCGTTAGGGGTGTGCCGAAATGTGTCGGGCGGCCACATGGGAACCTGACCACTGGGGCCTTAGGTGAAGCTCCCTATGGGGCCACGATGTGCATCAGGGGTGCGCCGAAATGGGTGGGGTGGCCACGTGCGAAAGAGCGTGTTCTGTGGTCGCTTGGAGGGGGCGGGGGGGTTTGGAACCGGACCCGCCCCCCGCCCCGCGGCGGCGGCTGGCGGCGGGGACGACGATTTCTTTTCCTGGGCCGGCGCCGGCGCCTGCGGCGGCGGGCGGCGGCGGCGGGGAGCGTCGACGAGGACGACGGTGGTGGTGGTGGGTTGTGGTGGTGGTGGCGGTGGTGGTGGTTGTGGTGGTGGTGTGGTGGTTTGTTGCGGTGGTGGTGGCGGTGGTTGTTCTGGTGGGTGCTGGTGGTGGTGGTGGTGGTTTGGTGCTGGTGTGGTGGTGGTGTGTGGTGGTGGTCGTGGCGGTGGTGGGTTGTGGTGGTGGTGGTGGTGGTGGTGGTGGTGGTGGTGTGGTGGTTTGTTGCGGTGGTGGTTTGTGGTGGTGGTGGTGCGTTGTGGTTGTGGCGGTGGTTTGTGGAGGTGGTGCTCTTGGTGGTGGTGGCGGTGGTGGTGGTGTGGTTGTTTGGTGGTGGTGGTGGGTTGTGCTGCTGGTAGTGGTGGTGGTTGTGGTGGTGGTCGTGGTGGTGTGGTAGTGGTGGTGGTGGTTGTGGTCGCGGGTTTTTTGTGGTGGTGGTGGTAGTGATGGTGAGTTGTGGCGGTGATGGTTGTTGTAGTGGTGGTGGCTGTGGTGGTGGCTGTGGTGGTGGTGGTGGTTGTGTGGTGGTTTTGTGGCGGTTGTGGTGGGTTGAGGCGGTGGTGGTGGTAGTGGTGGTGGTGGTGGTCGTGGTGGTAATCGTCGCTGCGTCCCCGCCGTCGCCGGCGCCAGCGCCGGCGTTGCTGGCCGCCGCCAGCGCCGGCGCAGGCGCCGACGCCACGGGGGGGAAGGGTTTTGAACCCCCCCCCCCCTGCCTGTGGTCATCGTCGCTGCGTCCCCGCCGTCGGCGCTGCTGGCGTCCGCCAGCGCCAGCGCGCCGGAGCCGGCGCCGGGGGCGGGGGGGGTTTGAACCCCCCCCCTTTGGGAAGGGGAGGGGGGGGGTTCGGGAGGGGGGCGGTTTGGGGGGGAGGGGAGTCCCTCTGGTTTTGATCGACGGTGCCGAGTGTTGAGGGTGGGGGCCCACCCCAAAGCTCGAAACGCGCCGCCGAATGTTCCCAAGGCAAACGCCTGTGAAACGCGCTCTTTCCCACGTGCGAGCCTGGCAACTGGGGCTTTCGGTGGAGCTCCTCCCCCTGCTCATACCCTTCCTCCTCCTCCCCCTCCTCCTCCTCCTCCTCCTCTTCTTCCTCTTCCTCCTCTTCCTGGCGGTGGAGCTCTTTATGAGGCCACGAAACGCGTGAGGGGTGTGCCCCAGTGACGCTTGCGGGCGCGACCACCAGGGTTTTCAGTGGAGCTCTTTTATGGGACCACGGAACGCTGTACTGGGTGTGGGAAACGCATGCGACAGCGGCCACTGGAGCGTTCGGTTGGGTTACCTAGGGGATTTGGTTGGGGAGACGAATGCGGCCACGTCCACGGGGGCCTTCGGTGGAGCGTTTTCTGGGACCATGACGCTTTGTATTGGGTGGGAAATACATGCGACCGCGATCAGTGGGGCCTTCAGTGGAGCTCCTTCTAGGGCCACGAAACATTGTACTGGGTGGGGGGTGGGGGGACGCATGCGAACGTCGCCTTTACGGCCTTCGGCGGTGCTCCCGATGGGGTCACGAAGCGCAAGACTGGTGCGGGAGAAATGCGCGCGAACGTCTCATTTGGGGCCTTCGGTGGTGTTCCCCATGGGGCCACGAAACATTGTACTGTGTGGGGGAGACGCATGCGAGCGTCGCCTTTGGGCGTCTGGTGGGGCCTTCCTCTTCGACCACGACGCGCCGTACTGCGTGGGGGAGACGCGCGCGAACGTCGCCACTGGGGCGTTCGATGGAGCTGTCTCAAGGACCACGACGCGCTGTACTGTGTGGGGGAGACGCATGCGAACGTCGCCTCTGGGGCGTTCGGTGGAGCTACCTGTGGAGCTTCCAAGCGTTTTCCTGAGTGAGGGACTGCGAAACGCTGTGCTGTGTGGGGTAGACGCGTGCGAACGGCGCCTCTCGTGCTTTTGGTGGAGCTGTCTCTGGGACCACGACGCGCTGTGCTGTGAGGGTGGGGGGGACGCGTGCGAACGTCGCCTCTGGGGCGTTCCGTGGAGCTCCTTATCGGGTCACGAAACGTGTGGGGGGGGGGGGCCGAACTGGACGACATGCGCAGGGCGAAGGCAAGACTGGTAGGAGGGAGGACCAACAGGGCGAGGAGGGGGAAGTAGGACGTGTGTCGCGGGGCGTTGCAGATTCAAATCGACCTCCTCCTCCTCCTCCTTCTCCTCCTCCTCCTCCTCCTCCTTCTCCCCCTCCTCCTCCTCCTCTCCTCCTTCTCCTGCTGCTCCTCCTCCTCCTCCTCTTCCTCCTCCTCCTCCTCTTCCTCCTCCTCCTCCTCCTCCTCCTCTTCCTCCTCCTCCTCTTCCTCCCTTCCTCCTCCTAACCCTTCCCCTCCTCCTCCTCCTCCTCCTCCTCCTCCTCCTCCTCAGGCGATTGTCTTAGGCACATGATTGGTCGCCCTACTTTTGAACCTCTTCTCCTCCTCTTCCACCTTTTGCCGAATTTCTTCCAGTACGGCGGATTGCAAGATCGCGTGTGCGTATGGCGTCATTTTCCCATGGCTCCTGAGACGCTTGCCTCCGTTGCTATAGCCCTCGACATATGCAGTAAAGCCTACCGCGATTTGAAACACACTTCGATAAACTCAGCCCGGCTGCGGGAGCACGCCGAGGCGCGATGGCAGCAGTTAGCGCGCAGAGATGATCGTATCCGCAATGTTCGTGGGAGAGGGATGGTGATATGAGTCCCGTACCCGCCGTGGCTGGCCTCGCCGTCCGCCCTGGCTGGATATGAGTCCCGTACCCGCCGTGGCTGGATAGCCTTTCTGAAGGGCAGCGGATTGTCCCTCCTCCACCTCCTCCTCCTCCTCCTCCTCCTCCTCCTCCTCCTCCAGGATCCAACACCACAGCATGTTTGGGAAACGACGCCAGAGGATGACGTACCCTCGCTTTCGACAGTGGTGTTGGCATTTCCAGCGGGCGTGTGTTTTGTCTTTGGGTCTTCTTGGAATTGCTAGGTGCTCCTTCAACCACTGTTGGATCATCTTTGCGGCCGTGGTGGCTTCTGAGCCGTCAGGTAAGAAGCCTCGGTGAGCGCTTGAGAGCCCCGATGGGGCGTAGGGCCGCCCAGAGAGGCTCGGTAGCGGAGGGCGTTGCATGCAACGAAGTGTGGCGAGATGGGGGAGGTCCACAAGAGGAGGACTCACATAAATTCTACCAAGCACTACTTGGCATCCTACCACGCATCAACGTGCCAGGGAGCACGGTGACGGATAAAGAGCGGGGAGTAGGAGCAGTATGAGAATAAGGGGCAGACAGATGGCCATAAGGATAAGGAGCAGGGAACATAGCGTAAGACAATCCATGCGGCAAGAGAGGGAATGGGGGGCGGTGGCGAGAGGAGGATGGAAAGGAGGAGGTCGAAGATGCGAGAATGAGGGACAGGTGGCCGAATAATGGCGGGAGGAGGTTGGGGCAAGGGAACGGGATGAGCAGGAGGAGGCGGAGGACCAGGAGGCGAGCTAGGTGAGAGGGGGCGGCCGCCAGATGCTCTAAGAAGCAGAAGAAGAAGAAGGCGCAAGCATAAGCTTTTGGCGCTCCGCGCTTGCGCCAGAAGGCTATGCTTGTGCAGCCGCTCCTGGATCTGTGAGAGAGGGAGCGGCCGCCAGATACGTCTCCGGAACCTGGGCCACGACCGGCGTGCACACGACCGCGACCGGGAACTCGCTGACCGCAGACGTCGCCGGCCGCGGCTGCGCGTGCCCAAGGGGCGGCGGGGCGGCTCGCGGCTCCGTCGCCGCATGAACCTTCGCGCGAGCACCTCCTGCGGCCCTACTGCTGCCGCTGAGCGCAACCCGGTCGCCTGTGGCAAGCCATACACCGGCAGCGCCAGAGCGGCACCAGCACTGGCACGCGTGCAATGGATGGTTCTTCGAAGGAGAGAACACGGCACACACACACACATAAATTTCTGGCGCTCCGCGCGGATTTCTTGGATCCGCGTTGGGCCCCCCTGGCGGCGCTTCGGCGCCGCCCCTGGCGCGCTCGGGGCGCCGGGGAAGGGGCTCAGCGCAGGTCCACGAAATCTGCGCGGACCTCCGAAAGTCTATGTCTGTGCAGGTTTTCTCCTTCCGTGTGTGTCTGTTTGCCGCCCCCTGTGGCGTTGGGTCTCCGCTTCAGAGTGAAAATGAGTTGCTGCGCGCCACCTCGTCCTCCTCCCCATCTCATCTTCCGTCGCTCTCTCTCTCTCTCTCTTTCTTCAGAGCTGCTCGATGCCACGTGCCTCAGATCTCCCCAGGCGGACGTGTTACAGATCAACGTGCCCAAGTGTCACCATGTGCGTTCCACTACTCGCAAAGTGCCTACTCGCAAATGTCCAAGAAACACATGTCTGATTTTATGTAGTTTATCGGAGATCCCCCGCGAAGTATCCAGGCCATTTGCGAGTAGTTACTTTGCGAGTAGTGGAACGCGCACGTCTAGTAGAGGAGTTTGCTGCGCACCACCTCGTCCTCCTCCCCATCTCGTATTCCGTCTCTTTCGTCAGAACTGCTCGATGCCGCGTGCCTCAGATCGCCACAGGTGGACGTGTTACGGGTCAAAGTGCTCAAGTGTCACCGAGCGCGTTCCAATACTCGGAAAGTGCCTACTCGCAAACGTCCGAAAAACACACCGTCGCCTCGATGTAATGTGTCGTACATCCCCCGCGGCTAATCCAGGCTACTTGCGAGTAGTGACTTTGCGAGTAGTGGAACGCGCTTGCCCAAAGTGGGTGCGTCACACGCCAGGCGTTTCGGGGCAGAAGATCATCTCAATATGGTAGGCTGCATCGGCTGCTGGTGCCGATTGGGCATCTTTTTTTGTGGTTTTCGAACAGTTGTCAGAGCGTGAATTACCTACCCCGCATTCGCTTCCAGGCAAAACCAAGTCATGCCACGCGCCTCCTCGTCAAGCGGCCTGACCAGTACAGGCCGTAGTTTGGCATCGCTTGGTATCTCTTGGAAGCGAGGGTGGTCAAAAGCGAGGTAGGTTGGTTTGCCCCCTAAATTGCCACCAGCTCGATATGAAGGCTTCTGAAAAGCTGCAAGGCCCTTCTAAGAAGGCCCTTGCCTCCTGAGAGGCCCGTCCGCCTGCTCAGAATGCCGCCCCCCTCGCGCCGCCCTGAGTCTCCCTCCATGGCGGCTCCCCCTTGGAGGCGCCCAAACGCCACGCCTGCCCTGTCGCGGTGGTCGTGGGGCTCCCAAGATGGAGGCGTCTGAGCCACCAAGCGAGCAAGGCGCCTGTCACATTATCAGTATTATTGTTGTTGTTGTTGTTGTTGTTGTTGTTGTTGTTGTTGTTGTTGTTGTTGTTGTTGTTGTTGTTGTTGTTGTTGTTGTTGTTGTTGTTGTTGTTGTTGTTGTTGTTGTTGTTTGTTGTTTGTTGTTGTTGTTGTTGTTGTTGTTGTTGTTGTTGTTGTTGTTAGTAGTAGGTAGTAGTAGTAGTAGTAGTCCGTAGTCGTAGTCGTAGTCGTAGTCGTAGTCGTAGTCGTAGTCGTAGTCGTAGTCGTAGTAGTAGTCGTAGTAGTAGTAGTAGTAGTAGTAGTAGTAGTAGTAGTAGTAGTAGTAGTAGTAGTAGTAGTAGTAGTAGTAGTAGTAGTAGTAGTAGTAGTCGTAGTCGTAGTCGTAGTCGTAGTCGTAGTCGTAGTCGTAGTCGTAGTCTTAGTCGTAGTCGTAGTCGTAGTCGTAGTCGTAGTCGTAGTCGTAGTAGTAGTAGTAGTAGTAGTAATAATAATAGTAGTAGTAGTAGTAGTATTACTATTGTTATTACTACTATTGTTATTATGAGTCTCATCATCCCACCATTTGGGCGCGAACGGGCAAGTGACCAGCTCTGTGGCGGCTGCCCTTTGAGGCAATTGCACCGTCCTCCCGACCCGGTCTCCCATAATTTTCCTGGGAGGGGAGCCGTGGGCGCGCCGTTCTGTCTGAGTACTCGGGGCGGAGGGCGCGCACTCGCTCGGCCGCTTCGGCTCCTCGCGTCCACTGCGGTTCGGCAGCACTGCTGCGGCGGCCAGGTTGTGTTGTTTGTCTGATGTCGCGCGTTTGAAGCGCAAGCCAGGTCGGATTGTTTTTCGAGATGGGTGGCATGTACAAGTTGTGTTACTCTCGCAACGGCACCTTCGGTGCAGACGATGCCGACATCATGCAGGTGCATTCTCGTTTCTCTTCTTGTGATCCCTCGGATATTTGTTGCGATGGCATGCACGCATGGAGGCACTGAACAAGTTTACCGGATGGTCTTCATCGATAATATACCGAATCCCACCGCTCTTGCTATCATTACGACTCGTTGTGTTGCCGTGTTATTGTTTTGAGGGTTCTTGCTGTTGTACGGTATGTCCCACATTCCAGACAGGCGTACATTGTTCCAGATCGCCCAAGGCCGCTCACAGAGCGTTCCCGAAAGCCCTGCAACGGCTGCGGCGCCAGATGCTTCCTCCGAACCCGCCGGCTCTCATCCCAGCCCGACCTTGTCAAGATCCATTCGAGCTCTGTCCCGAGACCGCTCCTGGGGTCCAACTTGGCCCCTCTTCCGAGCTGCGCCCGGCCCAAGTGACGACGAGGCCCCCGCGAAGGTCTGAGAAAGGCAAGGAGGCCCAGACGAGGAGGAGAAGGAGGAGGAGGAGGAGGAGAAAGGCAAGGAGGCCCGGAGGAGGACGAGGAGGAGGAGGAGGGAGGAGGAGCTACCACCGCCGTGCGCGGCCTTTGTTCTGCCCTCGTGTTGTGTTTACGGCGTTGCCCGACTGGGAAGTCTTCTGCGCTTGAGTGCCCTCGCCCTCCCCTCATGTCCTCCGCGGCCGCCCTGTCCTCCTCTTCCTCCTCCTCCTCCTTCTCCTCCTTCTCCTCCTCCTCCATTTCCTCCTCCTCCTCCACCTCCTGCTCCCCCCCCTCCTCCCCCTCCTCCTCCTGCTCCTCCTCCTCCTCCGCGGCCGCCCTGTCCCCCTTACTCTGGCCAATTCGCGTATCAGTCGCCCCGGATCGCCGCCCGCTGGAGCAGCACTTCTGCCCAAGGACCGACCGCAACGTTGTTCGGCTTGGTTTGGGCCCTTGCTTTGTTTTTCGTTTCGTTGTTCGTTGTTGCTTCGTTTCCTTGTCCGTCGTTGTTTTACACGCCCCGTTTCGTCGCTTGTGTTCGTTTGGCTCCGGCTTCGTTTCCAGCGTTCGTTTTATAAACGTTCGGTACCGATATCGTTGTCCGTTGTAAACGCCGTTTCGTTCTAAGCATCGTTGTGGTCCGTTCCTGCCTCTGCCTCGCCGCCGACGCTACAGTGGTCACGACGTCGGGCGGTCTGGGGGCCGCGGGGCGGTGCTGCGCTGCGTGCGGGGGGGGCAGCTCGGTCGGCGGGCGCCTTGGCCCAACGCCCCTGGGCCCTCCGCTCGGACCAGGCCGCCTGGAGGAGGAGGAGGAGGAGGAGGAGGAGGAGGAGGAGGAGGAGGAGGAGGAGGAGGAGAGGAGGAGGAGGGAGGAGGAGGAGGAGGAGGAGCAGGAGGAGCAGGAGGAGCAGGAGGAGGAGGAGGAGGAGAAGGAGGAGGAGAAGGAGGAGGAGGATAGTCGAGTTGTGTGGATGCTTTGGGCCCTTCTTTGAACCTCCGGCGGCCTCCGGAGACCTTCGCACGCGTTGCGCGCGCTTGCTTATTGTAAGGTTCCGTGCGTTCACGACCCTGGGGCGTTTCAAACGTTCGGGAGTGATGCGTAACGCCCCAAGGATTCGGTTGCCTGGTAATGCGAAGCAGCAACCATGCCGAAGCCAGGGGACGTACGCACGATGACAGTGTAATGTGGCTGGGAATGGGGCCAAATCTTTGAGGTTCGGCCTGATTTCTCCTGGCCTTATCGGAAGAGCTGTTGAGGAGCATTCGTTGACGCGTCTGCATGTGGCAACCGTCGATTGACAAAACTACTGTCAAGCATGAGTCTCTGGAGCAATGTACCCGTATATCCCTCGGATTCGGGCATCCCGTACATGCTTCTGCCCCCTCTGTCCAAGGGTACCCGGGCATCTTGACGCGTTTTAGGTGCCATGAATGTTTATGGTGCATTTTTAGACATGGCGTACTTTGGCTTTGTGCCACCCCATATGGCGACTCCCCCCCCCTCCACGGACGGGACTCGTTTCGACCGATTTGGATCATGCGAGCGAGCCGATCGATTTGCGACCAAGGACGGCGTCCTGACAGCGATGCGGGGAGTAGAGAAGGAGGAGGAACGAGGAGGAAGGAGGAGGAGGAGGGCGACCATGATGACGCAGATAAGGAGGAGGACGACGAGGACGAGGATAAGTAACAGGATAAGGCGATGGATGATGATGATGATGATGATGATGATGAGGA